TCTCTCTCTCTCTCTCTCTCTCTCTCTATGTAATTGCCGAACCTTTCAAATCAATAAATCATTTTGAATCTGAATCTCTCTCCTTTGTCCCTCTCCTTTGCCTCAAAGTGCATCTCGTCAGTATTCAGTTTCTCTCCTACATTGTCCCCTTCCTAAAGACATGACAAAACCTTACTTCCTGCTGGCCAGGAGCTGGCATGCCGTTCATATCTACACAGAGGATATACCCATAGGTACATGAAGCGTCTAATAAGACTGATGCAGAAACTTGGGGAAGCTCTGTGTTATTACAAGAAAGAAAGAAAGAATCTCGCCGTGCCTACACGTCGGTCGTCGAATAAAGTATTACAATGGAATAATGCTGCCTCGCCAGCCAATCGTGAGCAAAGAAGATTGACATCGAAAAGAAAAAAAAAACAAACAAACAAACGAGAAAGAAAAGAAACAAAAATGAACAGACGACAAAATACGTACAGTTACAGAATGGCTTAAAGGGGTGCAAACAGATGAAGAACGACATTCGCCCCCCCCCCCCCCCCCTTTCTTAAATAAAATAAAAAGAATGGGGCAAAGAATGGAAAAAGAGCAGGCTTTTTCGGCATCAACGACAGGACGATGGTACAGACATCGTCCGGAGAATCAATATTCAATTATTCTGTAGAAGCAGATGGAAGGAGCATTGCCCCAAAGTACCCTAACCGAGAGATACAGGGGAAAAATTGGAGTATGTGGCGAGGGGTGTGGGGTGGGGGCAGAAGATAAATACGGTCATAAAATAGGGGTAGAAACTTATCTGTTGGAGATGGGGAGGGGGGCGGGGGGGGCATGCGGACAAATGAAGAAAGATCGATCGCGAAAGGCAAGACACAAAAAGGCAGATAGTGAGTCAGAAAGACACAGAGATAGGAAGGTAGGGGCAGTTCAGATGAGAGAGAGGGACAGAGAGAGATAGAGAGAAAGAGAGGGGGGGAGAGAGAGAGATAGAGAGGGGGTGAGAGAGAGAGAAAAACAAAGAGAAACAGACAGACAGACAGACAGACAGACAGACAGACAGACAGACAGACAGAGAGAGAGAGAGAGAGAGAGAGAGAGAGAGAGAGAGAGAGAGAGAGAAAAGAGAGAGAGAACGCTAGTCAAGAAACACAAAGTTCTATCCGACATTTTTGTCTTTTTTGAGTTACTAAAACCGTGAACTCAGAAAACAAATATTCTATCAGCTCGACCAAAATGGCAAGACTATTCGGAGTAGTTATCAAGATATTCAAAGAACTGCATTTACAAAAAGCTTGACCCGGAAGTGAAACTCAAAATTCTAAGTAACGTCATTTTACTCTCAAAACGAGATACTGAGCAGACAGACCTTTGTGGGTGGTTGGCGGGTGCTCTGGTGTGGTTTGCTTCTGCTTCTTCTTTCCTATCAAACATCTATCGTCCTTTTCTCCCCTTCTTCATTTTTATGTTTGTTACTCTCTTGTAACACCTCTAAAATTCTGGCGCTCATATGACCTTATGTAATTGCGAGCGCCGTAAGACCTCTACTAAAACTAAAAACAGACCTTTGTAATTTTAGGATATCTAGTAAGATAACTAAGTCTAGCCTCTAAAGAGTTAATATCTTTTTCTTTTCCAGGTTACCTCCTTCAACGCCCCAACCCCATCCCCACCCTTTTTCTCCCCTTC